CTGGTCTACAAAGAGAGTTCCAGGAAGCCAAGGCTATTACACGGAGAAACCCTGTCTCAAAACAACAACAACAACAATAACAACAACAATAATAATAATAGAAAATAAGGTCCACAGCCTTGGGGACCTGAACTGGGTCTGTCACTTGATCTCCCTGAACTTAGAATTTTTTTCTTCCTTCTTGGAGGAAGTCCCTACCAAAATTACCTTTAGAACCCTGCAGTGTGTCTGTCTTCACTTCCATTGAGGCTTTTAAAACCAAGTGAGAAGTAAAAAACAGGAGTGGGAGAGGTCAGGCAGGAGTTTGAGCATCTCTGCAGGACCAGGTACGTACCCTCCTACAGTACTCAGTGCAGGCCCTGACACCTGCTGATGCCCCTGGGGCCATCACCCATCCCTGAAGCATGCTCACCCCAGCACATCCAGCAGAGGAGGGAATCACCTGTGGAGCTTCCTGCCTGGCTCATGGCCCCCACACACCCCGCCTGCCACACTCTAGAAGGGAAGAGTCAGTTTCTGGAGCACGGCCCAGTGAGGGCAGAGGGTGCTTTTGGCGACAGAGTCTCTATTCTTTTCTTCTCTTCGTTTTTTTGAGGAGAGTGGAGGGGAGAGAGGGTCTCATATAGGCTCGAGTGCACTGTGTTCAAAGGACGGCCTTAACACTCCTGGTGCCCGCCTCCCCCTTCCCAGTGCTGGAATTACAGGGTTGCACTGCCACACCCAGTTCATGCAGGGCTGGGAATCAAACTCAGACAGTTTGCACACCAGACAGGCACTCTGTGCAGCATGGCTCAGGACAGCAGGGAACTGAAGTGGTCTGACAGCCAAAAATAGAAATAATCCAAATAAATTGTGGGAAGGAATGCCTGTGGCTCCACAAAATAATTACAAAATGTAACCGGGAATGGAAATGGTCACCATCAGCCTCTGAGTCCGAGGCGTGCTATGAGGATCTAGTTACATACTGATGGCATTCCAATTAAAATTCATATCCATAAAGAAAATGGGGGAGCTGTGGATATGGCTCAGTGGGTAAGCGCATGCCCAGTACGTATGGAGGAAGCCCTGTTTTCCAGTCCCAGCACCGCACACACCTGTATATGCAGTGCTTAGGAGGAGGAAGGAAGCAGAGACTCAGGAATTCACAGTCGTCCTGGGCTGCACATGGAGCTACAGGCCAGCCTGGGCTACAGATGACCTTTCCGCAAAAACAAAAGGAAAATGTGGCAGTGTCTGCTTCAAAATATTGAGAAAAATCTAAAAAAGGAAAGAGAGAGAGAGAAAGGGAAAGAGGGGCGGAGGGAGGAAGAAAGAAAGAAAGAAAGAAAGAAAGAAAGAAAGAAAGAAAGAAAGAAAGAAAGAAAGACAGACAGACAGACAGACAGGTGTCATGGTGCATTCATTTAATCCCAGCACTCTGGAGGCAGAGGCAGATCTGAGTTCGAGGCCAACCTTCTCTTACAAAGCCAATTCCAGGAAAGCCAGGACTACATGAGAGACCCTGTCTCAAAAACACTTTGTGTCTGTATGTGTGTGTCTGTATGTGTGTGTGTGTGTGTATGCGTGTGTATGCGTGCACGTGCACGCTCAGAGTATCTGTGGAGAGTCATGCCAAATGACTCTTCACTTTCTTCTCCCTGTATTTTCTGATTTTTCCCTTCAAGCAATATTCAACTAATATGAAGTTTTACTATCTGATTATTTGTTTGAGTAATTTGGAACTACTCAAGAATTCATGTGCGCACACAAACATACCATGGCACACACTTAAGACCAGAGGACAACTTGAGTGAACTGGTTCTCTCCCTCCACCATGTGGGTCCCAGGGATGGAACCCACGTTGTTGGGCCTAGCAACCGCCCTTGCCAACTAAACCATCTCACCAGCCCTGTAAACATTTTTAGACTTACTTATTTTTATTTTTTTAAGTGGGTGGGTGTTTTGCCTGGATGGATGTCTGTACACCATGTACACGCCTGGGGCCCACAGAGGCCAGAACAGAGCGTCGGATCCCCTGGAACTACTGGGGTTACAGACAATTGTTAGCCATCATGTGGGAATCGAACCCAGGTCTTCTGATAGAGCAATCAGCACTCTTAACCACTGAGCCATCTCTCCCTCCCTCCTTCAGAATCTCTTTTTACTACAATGCTCTGTGCTAGTGAATGGCTAATGAAATGTATCTGCTCCCTCGTTTATTTGTTAGTTTTCAAAGCCCAGGATCACCTTGAACTTGCTGTGTACCCAAGGATGACCAAGGATGACCTTGAACTCCTGACCCTACTTGACTTCACTCCTGCGTGTTGAAGGACCAGGTGTGTGCCGCCACATGTGGTTTATGTCGTGCTGGGCATGGAACCTAGGTCTTCATGCATACTACAAAGCTCTCCACCAACTGCGTCCCCAGCCCCCATTTTCCTATCTTATTTTTTTCTCTTGAGACCGGGTCTGTTTTTATAGCCTTAACTGTCCTGGAACTCACTATGTAAACCAAGCTAGTCTTGAACTCAGAGAGATCTGTGGGCCTCTGCCTCTCTAGTGTTGGGATTAAAGGTATGCACCACCAATGCCCAGCTCCATTTTCCCATCTTAAGTGAGATTCCCACTCTCAGTGCTCAGGAAGAGCCCTGCACACTAGAATAATTGAGCGAACACTTAGTGACTGAGTGTTCACATCCCAACACCTGTTGATTCTCAAGCAACTCTTTCGGTTGAACAGGGAAGCCTGGGCTACTGGGAGGCTTGCTCACGTCACACGGTCAATAACCAACAGCACAGCAGTCAGAGTTGCTCCCAGATAGAGCTCCTCCAAGGAGCCTTGTCGGGGGCTCCCCACTGAGCATACCAACCCCCCACATCAGCAGCCCTGCCTCTAAGGCCTGCTCTGCTTTGCCTGACATTGGTAACTCCAGGGACCCCACCTGTCATTAGAGAAGCCCACTAAATCACTCTCCCCCCTTGGAAGGGGAAGTCTGCAATCCATAGCTAATCAGCAATGGCATTCTTGACTATAAAGATGAGCTCAGCGTAGCCACATGACTTGATGGCATCCAGTAGAGCACAGCGCCAGGCTTCCTAAACACCTGTCACCTGGCCAGGTACTTGTGTCATCTGCCTTTAATCCCAGGACACTGGAGGCAGAGGCAGACAGATCTCTATGAGTTCGAGGCTAGCCTGGTCAACAGAGCAAGTTCCAGGACAATCAAGGCTACACAGAAAAACTCTGTACCCCCCCCCCCAAAAGAACACATCACTTGATTGTTTCAGACAGGCCAGAGGTCATCTTGCCTTAAAGAGGCCTCCAGGCCCAAATACCAACAGAAGCTGAATAAGGAAGAAACGTTGGAAATGTGGTCCAGAAGGCTGCTTTCACCCACATCAGGCCTGGCTAGAAGTTGAGGTCTGTTGTTTCAAGAACCTAAAGTGGGCTTATATTTTGCTTAAGTGAGCAAAGCTATCTGCCAGTCACAAACCTGTCCAGAGCTGCCCAGACACACACCCGAGATGAGTTTGGCTTGTGTGAAAAGCTCAGGAGCAGGGCTGGAGAGATAGCTCTGAGGTGAAGAGTACCAGTTGCTCTTCCAAAAGACTTGGGTTTGATTCTTAGCATCCAAATGGTGGCTCACAACTAATAATTCCAGTTCCAGGGGGGTCTGGCACTCTCGGCTGACTTCAGATGGGATGCGTGCACGTGGTGCACAGACATACAGGAAGGCAAGATACCCATACAATACACATAAATAAAAATGAAGGAAAAAATAAAAGATTTTTTTTAAGTCCAGGAGCTGGTTGAGTTTTTTCCTGGCATGCACAAAGCACCAGGTTGGATCATGGCGGTGCACACACTCAGGAGGTAGAAATACGAGGGTAAAGAGTACCAGGTCCAAACTACTCCCTCAACTACATAGTGAGTTCCAGAACAGCCTGGACTACCAGGTCTCAAAAAGCAAAAGACATGAGTGGAGGGTAGGAGTGAAAGATGACATAAATGTGAATGGGCTTGGTGACCCCCACCCCCAGCTAAGTAGGGATCTCTGGAGCTAGCTGGCTGGCCAGACCAGCCCTATCTGTAATTCAGTGAGTGAGATGGAGGGTAACTGAGGAAGACTCTCAGCATCAACCTTGGGTCTCTGCACAAATGTACACGTGCACCTGAACACATGCACACCCTCAGTGACGTAAACAGGTATACACACACACACACACATACAGAGGAAACAAAATGATGGGCCTGGGGAGGTAAATCAGTCAGTAAAGTACATCTAGTACAGGCGGAGAGGGGACATGAGTTGGGAGCCCCAGAACCCATACAAAAAGCCAGGCAGCCAGGCATAGCCAGACAGTATTGGCACATGCCTTTAATACCAGCACTCAGGGAGGCAGAGGCAGGTGGATCTCCATGAGTTCGAGGCCAGCCTGGTCTACAGAGTGAGTTCCAGTTCAGGCTCCAAGGCTACAGAGAAACCCTGTCTCGAAAAAAATAAAATAATCCAGGCATGTCATGGGTGCCTGCATCCTCAGCCTTTCAGAGGAAAGAGACAGGTGGGTCCTGGAAGATGGCTAACCTGCCTCACCCACCCAGTAGATCAATCTCAGGTTCAGTGAGCAACACTGTCTCAAAAAATAAAGATGGAGGTTGACCAATGTGGTACATGCCAGCGTTCAGGAAACAGAGGCAGGCGGATCTCTGTGAGTTCGAGGCCAGCCTGGTCTACAGAGCAAGTTCCAGGACAGGCTCCAAAGTTACAGAGAAACCCTGTCTCGAAAATCCAAGAGCAACAAATAAATAAACATTAATTAATATTAAAAGATGGAGAGCAATCAAGGAGAGGCCGTCTACATGGACCTTAGGGCTCCACACACAAACACACACACAGGTGCACACCACACACACAGCTAGGTGACAAAGGATGAAGTTCGACACCCTCTCAAAGGTCTACCTGTCCCTCACCCCAGCTCCAGACATTCCCACCATGAACACAGACCACAGGTACCACACGCAGCACTGGATGGAGTTTTATTTTAAAGTCAAAGGCACAGCCTAGAGGGGCTGAGGCAGTGACTGTAGATGCCCAGCCCAGACCTCCAAGGATCCACTGGCAGCCAGAAGCAGCTGTGCCCATGGGGAATAGGTGAGTGAGAAAGGGGCTCCCCTTGTAGGGAAGCACCTGCCTCCTTCCTTAGCCCCACTGGGGGAGAAGCCGGTGACATACGAGTGATGAATCTCAGAAACGCTCTAGAGGTCCCCCAGGGTCTCTCTCCTGTTCCCAACACAGGTCTTTGGTGGACATAATTGCACATGGTCCATAAAGCGACATCATATTGACAGATATCCCCTCCCAGGAGCAAGGCCCCAGGGGAGCACAAGAGGGGGGGGCTCCTGATTTCTTCGCCATGGCAACCGCGTGCTTAAGAATGGGATAGGATGCCCTTCCTTAGTGGAGTAGGCCCTGGGAGGGGGGACGGGGGCAAACCCACTCTGCTCACAACACTTGCTTCCCTGTGTCCCTAACTCTTATCTGATAAGACATTTTTTTTTAAAAAAAATCTCTGCTTATAAAAATACTTCTGCTCTGTCTGGGACTGGGTGGGGAGGGGCGGGCAAGTCCTGGGAATCAGAGTGGGAACCGCTGGCACAAGTCTGGTGGCAGCACCGGGCTCCCCATCACAGCTCCTAAGGGGAAGGGGAACACAGTGGCGGGAGCTAGGAGGGGGACAAGGGGCCGTTGGCTCGGCGGGGTGTCCCCTTGGTGGCAGGGGCTGGTAGGCGACCCGAGGAGGCAGGCACTGGGGAGACGCGGCGGGAGGCAGCTGCGCTCCGAAGCTTCTGCTTGCGTCTCTTGGCCAGAGGCGCATTCTCCACACTTTTCAGAAAGAAGCCCTCGCGCTTACCTCGGTTGAATGCCTGGGAAAGACGAGGATGAGTGTCCCCACCAGGCCCGGTTTGGGTTTGCTGAACCTCGTCTTGAAGTCTTGGAGCGCATCCCATCGTGCCCAGATCTACAGTCCCCCAGGCCCCCAGCCTCCAGAGGTCAGGACCCCCTCCCTACGCACCAGGCTCCGACTACCAGCGGTTTACTGCTTACCATGAAAGTGGCGTTGAGCCCAGAGCGCACTGCTGGCCCGGAGGACTCCAGCACATCGGGCGTCCGAAGCGGAGGAGAAGAGCGCGCACTGCCGTCCTGAAGCCATGAACTGCTTCGCAGCCCTTCCAGCTTCAGTCGCTTGGCGGGGTCCACTGTCAGTAGCCCTGGTGGCGAGGAAGGGACATGTTGGAAAGAACGACTCCCTCTGTTTCCGCACCTGCCCCTCAACTAAGACCTGATCAAGGATTCACTTGCTTCACACAAATACCACCCCACCCCCGCAACCATGCCCAAGCCCTCTCCAGCTCCGCACCTCGGACCAGCTCCTTGGCTTCCTCTGACACACCCTGCCAGGCTTCTCCGTCCAGTGAGAAGCGCCCTTCACGGATCTTGCACATGATCTCGGCTGCCTGGCTCTGCCCGCCCTGGCCAGAGGACCCTTGGAAGGGAACCTGCCCCGACAGCATCATGTACTAGGAGGAGAGGAAGGAGTGAGACGGGTCCAGGATGCAAGACGAAGGCCGCATCCTCAACCCACCTACAGCACCACTGCCCTCGCCACCATAGGGACCCAAGAGTGATGGGCCTTCAGTCCCAGTATCACAGAGACCCTGCTTCGCATGCTGGCCTCAAAGACACTGCTACCGCCACTAACACACCTGGTCACCCCAGATACCTCCAAGAATCTTACCAAAATGACACCCAGGCTCCAAAGATCACACGACTCATCGTAGCCCTGCTGTGCCAGCAGCTCTGGGGCTGCATACTGCAGCGTGAAGCAAGGCGTCTGCATGGGCCCCGCCGGGCTCTGAGGCCGCAGTCGTGCGAACCCAAAGTCGATGATCTTTACTGGAGCCTCGGGCGTGTCATCTGCATACAAGATGTTCTACAAGAGGGAGATGAGCGAGAGTCAGCGGCAGTCCGGTGCAGGTGTCAGGCATTCCTGCCCAATTGCCCGGGCCTGCGCCCACCTCCGGCTTGAGGTCGCGATGCACCACGCCCGCCTCCTCGTGCATAAAGCTCACGGCAGACACCAGGCTGCGCAGGATCTGGCTGGCCTCCGATTCGCTGAAGAGCCGCTTCTTTCGGATGCGCTCCAGCAGCTCCCCTCCTCGCAGCAACTCCAGGACCAGGTACGTGTGCAACTGTGGAAGGCGCAGTGGGTCACCACCACCACCACCTCGTATCTCCAGAGCCCTCAGATTCCACTCCTGAACACGCGCGCGCGCGCACACGCACACACACACACACACACACACACACACACACTGCTTTCCAGAACCTCCTTATCCAATTTTACTCCAAGTCCTCTAAGCTCCGCCTCCTGAGCGTGCTCCTTATATTCCATTCCTCCTCCATCTTCTGCAGTGCCCCACAGTCCTCAGGTCCTACGCCCCTCAGATCCCACTTCTAGGGTCTCCCACTCCATAGGCCACACCTAACGTCAGTCACCTGGTCATGAAGCACCTCATGTAAATTCACCACGTTAGGGTGTGACTGGCACAGGCGAAGGGCAGCCACCTCACGCTGTGTGTTCTCCTCCAGCCTAGGGACAAAGCGGGAGAGGTTACAGAGGCCTGCCGGGCCCTTATCCCCAGGTCTCTCTGTGAGCCCTCCCCAAAGCCAGCTCCCACCTGCGGCTGAGGATCTTGACAGCGAATTCCTGGCCGCTCTGTCGCTGGCGACATCGCCGACACACAGAGAAGCTGCCCTGACCCAAAGCAGGCTCCTGAAGGTCCAGCTCATACTGCTGGAAGAAGGGCGAGTCCTGGAGGCAATGGAGTGATGGTCAGGTTCTCACAACGGAGTTGGGTGGCCATGTCATGGCCGATGGCCTCCACCCAAGTCATACCACCAGCAACGGGTAGAACCAGGCCAGAGTCCCCCAACCCAGAGGACTCCAACAAAGCCAAAACCATTGCCATCCCAGGCCAGCCCACCTGCATCATGGCACTCCTGGCAACTGCTGCCCTGCCAGGCCTGTGTCCAGCACCAGGTGCCTCCAGCACATCTGTCATCACTGCATTGTTGTGGTCGAAGAGGATGGACGGGGCCACAAAGGAGTATCCCTGCAAGGATGAATGTCAGGGTCGGCCGCCCATGGGGGCTGCTGTGCAAGTCAGTGCAGAGGGCTGAGCTCATCACAGGGAAGACCTCCACAAAGGGGCGGTTAGGAGCTCTTACATCCGGGTGTGCACAGCCTGCGTGGACACATTTTATTTCACCTTGTTTTATAATCAAAGGGCCATTGTCTATCCTCCTAGTGTGCGACACCCCACTTTTCTCATCACATGAAGTCCCCCACCTGCAGAGTACCTAGCACAGCCTAGTGGCCCAGGATTGTACAGAAGGGCTGCACCTGCGGTCACACACACTTAACTAAATTCAGCAGTATCTTTCGAGACAAGGTTTCTCTGTGTAGCCTTAGCAATCCTGGAACTCACTCTATAGACGGGGCTGCCCTCGAACTCATAGAGATCTGCTGCTTCTGCCACCCAAGGGCTGGGATTAAAGGCATGCACCACCACCACCTGGCAAAAGCACTATTTTTTAATTTATTTATTCTGTAAGTGTGGGTGTTTGCCTGCATGAAAGTCTGTGCACCACGTGCATGCAATGCCCTCAGAGGCCAGAAGAGGGTGTCACATCCTCTAGAAATGGAGTTGTAGATGGTTGTAAACCACCATGTAGGCACTGGGAATTGAACTCCTATCATCTGGAAGAACAGCAGTGCTCTTAAACATTGAGCAATCTCTTTAGACCCAAGGGTTCTCAGCCTGTGGGTCATGACCCCTTTGGGGTGGAATGACCCATTCACAGAGGTTACCTAAGACCATCAGGAATATCAGATATTTACATTACAATTTCTAACAGTAGCAAAATTACAGTTATGAAGTAGCAACAAAGATAATTTTATCATTGGGGGTCATCTCAACATGAGGAGCTATATTAAAGGGTCGCAGCATTAGGAAGGTTGAAAACCACTGCCCTAAGGCATTTTTTTTATATAACAAGGAGATGGTGGAATGGAAAGGAAATGAAAAGCCAGGCCTGGAGGTGCAGGCCTATATTTCAGCTACTCAGGGGTCTGAAGCAGTAAGAAAGTTCAAGGACAGCATGAGCAACTCATCAATGCCATGTCAAAATAAGGCTTTGTGGCAGAGCGCGCATTAATACAAGTAAGGCCCTATGTTTAATCCCCAGCATATAAAGGGGGAGCAGGGGTGGGAGAGATGGCTCAGCAGCTAAGAACACTGACTACTCTTCCTGAGGACCCATGTTTGATTCTCAGCACCTACGTGGTAGCTCACAACTGTCTGTAACCCAATCCAAAGGGATATGACACCCTCTTCTGGCCTCCTTAGGCACCAGGCATGCTCTGGTGCATAAACATTTAAACAGACAAAAAAAAAAAAAAACCTATGCTCATAAATACATGGATGGATGGACGGATGGACAGACAGATAAAAATTTTGGAGGGTGAGCAGATGTGACACAGCTGTGGCAGCTCCTTAACTGACAACTTCAGGCATCCCCTAGGAAGTGGAACTGTCTGTGGAGCTGGGTCCCCAGCATGACCCAGGGACTGTGCAGTGACTTTGCTAGCAGGACTGAAGCAGGCAGTAGTGTCCTGCATCTCCTCCATCGGGGTCTGGTGAGTTCCCACTCACCTGAAAGATCCTGGAGTCGCCAGGCGGAGGGCTGCCAGCAGGGGAGTAGACAGGCTCCAGCCGAGTGAATTCCTCTGCAAAATTACCCACGTCCAGCTCAGAGCGAATCTGGGGCCGGAACGGGGCTGGGATCTTCCTGGCAGCCAAAGCAGCCCAATCCAGACCCTGGGGAGGAAGGGTCAGGGGTAAGAGGTGAGAACATGGCTGAATCACTCTGATTAGGGCCTTTCAGGCTGTGCTTAGCCTTGAACGGCTGACCTGAGTTACTCCATTTTGAGTCTAACTGCAGAGAAAGAATGGCTTTACATCTTGTTAATACAAGAAAACATCTGCCGTCTGCCAGCAGAGCCAGGGGCACATGCTGATAAATATTTGTATCTGATAAAGAAGGACACCTGAAAATATGCCTGTCCAGGAGCTCGGGGATAGCTCGGGGCATAGTGTGCTTCCCTAGATTGCACAAAGCCCTAGGTCCAATCCTATCCTAGGAGTGGAGAGATGGAGGCAGGAGGATCCAAAATGCAAGGTCCTCCTCAGCTACATAGGAGGTTTGAGACCTTGGCAGGATATGAGAAAAATCAGTCACATGAACATATCACATTTAAAGGAAGTCCCTCACCTGGGACTACGAAAAGAAAGATAGATCCCACGACCAAAATGTGTCCGCTCTGCTAAAAAGTCACTGGGTCATAAGCAACAACCTCATCCAGGAAAATTGTCCCGGTGGAGGACAGGCTCCCTCGCAGCCTCTCCTGCAGTGACATTCAGCCTACTTCAGACTGGGCCCAGAAACCACCTGGCCCTGCATCTGCTCTGTGCCTTCAGGACAACCTCAGCAGTAGCCTCTTTAACCCTTTCTTAGTCTTTCTACATCCTGAATACTTGTATATCGTGCGGCATGTGGACCAGTGATTGGAGAGCTGATATGATCCGGACGGGACTGAAAGGGAGGTGAGATGGCTCCAGAGGTAAAGCCACTTGCCACCAAGCCTGACAACCTGAGCTCACTCCCTGGGACACACACAGTGGAAGGAGAAAGCCAACAACTGTCCTCTCGCCTCCACATGCATGTCCTGGCTTTTGGTTAACGGAGACAAGGTCTCTCTACACAGCCCTGACCTTCCTGGAACTCACTGTGTAGACCAGGCTGGCCTTGTACTCACCACTACACCCAGGGCAAAAACAAGTTTTAAAAAAACTTCGGCAGCACATCTACTAAAACTGGAACACTACAGAGAGGATTAGCATGGCCCCTGCGCAAGGATGACACGCAAATTCGTGAAGTGCTCCATATTTAAAAAAAAATAGATTAGATTAAAGAACCTGTGGAGGCTAGGTGGTGGTGGCACACACCTTTAATCCCAGCACTCAGAAGACAGAGGCAGGTGGATCTCTGTGAGCTCGAGGCCAGCCTGGTCCACAGAGCTAGTTCCAGGACCGCCAGGACTACCAAGAGGAACTGGATTACCTGACAGTCACCGACCAATCACACTGATGCAGCTTGTGAGCTTATTGTCCCTCAGTAAATTCTGACATTGTGGAGAGACGCAAAGGAGTCGTGTGTTCCATGTGTTGCTGATGCAGTGTACAACAAAAGGTCAGAGGACAACGTGTGGAGACCCCACTTTCCTCCGTCTACCCTCGCTGGGCAACCCCCCCCTGAGGCTGTGACCTCAAAGTAGGCGCCTCCCTGCCCCACTGCCTCCCCTTTGCCCTTAGAGAGCTTTCACTTGCCACACTCTGGGTCCCTGAAATTGTATGGCAGTGACATCAAACACAAGCAGACTGGACTGGAGAGATGACTCGGCTGCTGCTCGTCCAGAAAACCCAGGTTCAACCCCCCAGCATCCGCAAAGCAGCTCACAAGGGTCTGTAACTGCAGTTTGATGCCTTCTGCCCTCACAGACACTGCACACACATAGTGCACAGACAAGTAAAAATAAATAAACAAATATTCCTAAATAAAAAACTTTTCTTTGAATTTTCCACTTCTGGGAGTGAGCACCTACCCTTCTATGTGGGTCTAGACTAATGTAGCCAAGCTACATTACTAATCTCTACCCAGCATCCATCCTCCCTATCTTTTCTTAGCACCATAATCTTAACACAACCAAGAGGTACCATCTTACAAACACTTCCTTTAGCTGGCTGTGCCCAATAGCTTGCAATCAAATGCTGTCAGGTGGAGCCTAGGGAAGTACCTGGAAGGAAAGGCACCAGTAGCTGACAGATGCCCTCCCTCCTCCTGCTTCTTGCCTGGGAAGCAGTCTAAATAGCAAGAGCTTCAGCAGAGTCACAAAGCAACCCTGGGATTGGGTGCCACATACTAAGAATGGAGGAACAAAAAAAAAAAAAAGCTTCAATTCTCAAAGACAACTTCTTTCTCGCCATCACCCACCCACCCACTGTATGTGCACATATATATGTGTGTTTGTGTTCGTATGTGTGTGGTGTCAGGTGTGTGTGTGTGTGTGTGTGTGTGCACGCGTGCGCAGAAGCCTCCAAAGAGCTTTCCAAAGAAAGAGAAGAAGGAAGGGAACACCCCTTCCAAGTATCATGCCTCAAAGATCTTGGGGCTTCTGCAGAATGACAGGTGAGAGTTCTCCTAGCATCTAGTCTTGAGTTTGGGGGTGTTTCAGAAATTCCCTGAAGGAAGTAGACCCTGCTCATCTGCATTTTGGGCTCCACTCTTGCCCACACCTCCACCTAGGGCCATGTTGGTCTGAGAGCAACCCAGGAGGCCCCTCCTTGGCTGGGATCCCAGCAGGGAGGCAAGGAGTACCCACAAATGGATGCCCTTGCTGCCATATCAGACAGATGCCAACTAGGATGCCTACATGTAAACAGAAGAAGGCAACAGCTGGGAACCCAGGCAGTGAGGTCTAATATGAAGGCTCCATGCCAGTTCCTGCATTCTCAGGGAGCTGCCTGGTGAGAGTAGCCTGAGAACAGCAGGGTCTCCACATTCTGCCCTTTGACCTCTTATTGTGTGCAACATCAGACAAACATGGATACCTTTATGCTACCCACGCTGCAGCCCAGCCTACGGAGGTGGAGGATATGAGAGGCAGTCATAGGTTAAAACTCACCTGGAAAAAGGGGTGGCTCTTGACTTCCTGCGCACCCTGGGGACCCGCGCCCAACCTCTTCTTAGGGTCTTTACACAGCAGCCTCTGTAGCAGGTCCTGTGCCACAGGCCCGATCCGGAGAGGGAAGGGAGGGGAGCACTTCAAGATCCGTCTGGGAGGATGGGTGGGGGTGTCAGGGGCAACAAGCCCCCTCCCAGCCCAGCCCAGGCAGGCCATATAGCCCTCAGCTGCCCTCCATGACCCGTACGACATACCGAGACACCTCGGCCTGAGTGTTCTTCTCTCCCTCCAGTGTGAAGGGCGAGGCCCCTGTCAGCAGCTCGAAGAGCAGGATACCCAGGCTCCACCAGTCCACAGCCTATGGGGGCAGGGCCAGAATGAAGGCCCTGTGCACTCAATTTACCCCACCACCGTCACCCGAATAACCCACCTTGCCATGTCCAGCCTTGCTTCGGATGATTTCGGGGGCCATGTACTCGATTGTGCCACAGAAGGAGAAGGTCCGCTCTTTCTGAGAAGCCGAGAGGACCCATGTGGATACCTTAACCTCTCCCATGCCCCAAAGGCCCTAAAGGCTTAGTGCAGAGTTTGCTCTCAACGTTAGATGATCCCGGGGAAACGGTGGGAACCTCTGTACCCGTCCACTCTGCAGCCCTCAGGGTGCTGATCCGGAGGGAGCAGGACAAAGGCCTGGCTGGCAGCACCATGAACCGAGCTCCCCACCCTCTCACCTCCTCTGTCAGAAACTCCTTGCTCAGCCCAAAGTCTGTGAGGACGATGTGACCTTCTGAGTCAAGCAGGACATTCTCTAGCTTCAGGTCACGGTAGATGATGCCCAGCTGGCAGGAGCAAAAGGGACATTGAGTGTTGCCCTGATAGACACTCTACTCAGCCACAGCTCTGCGGGTTCCACGTGGGATAAAGAGGCATCTTGAAGATCTTTAGCCTGCAGGGTAATCTCCAAGACAGGCCTAAACCAGGGCAGAGTTCGCTACTAGAAAAGCCACTAGACCCAGGCCTGTAAACTCACACCTGTCATCCTAGAACATAGGGGAAATGGCAGGAGGTCAGCCTAGACTAGTCAGCAATTAGCCAGAGGGCTGGGCTACAGAGTGAGACCCTATCTAAAACAAAACCAAACCAACCAAAAGAGAAAAAAGGAGAAACGGCTAAGGCTGAGTGTGATCTGTCAGTGGAGGGCTTGCCTAGCGGAGGCCCTGAGTTGGATGCCTGGCAACACACAAAACTGGGCTTTTGTGAGACAGAGGAGGCAGGATCAGAAGTTCAAGGTCAGGGGCTGGAGAGATGGCTCAGAGGTTAAGAGCACTGACTGTTCTTCCAGAGGTACTGAGTTCAATTCCCAGCAATCATATGGTAGCTCACAACCATCCATAATAAGACCTGGTACCCTCTTCTGGCCTATAGGTATACATGCAGACAGAATACTATATACATAATAAATAAATAAATAAATAAATAAATAAATATTTTTTAAAAAAAAATAAAAGAAGTTCAAGGTTCATTCTTGACTACATAGGGAGTTCAAGGCCAGCTCGGGCAATGGGAGATGCTGGGGGGAGGGGGTTAAACAAGAGGCTCAGCAGAGAACATACCTGCAGGGGAAAGCTTGACAACCTAAGTTTGACCCCCCAGAACCCATGTAAGGTGGAAGGAGAGAATTAATCTGACCCACACACATGCTGTGACACATATGCACCTACACACATCGCACGTACAATAAAAAATAAAAAAATAAGAAAGGCATAGAAAGGGACCACTGACGTTATAAAGCGAAAAGGCCCTGTGGCCAAGGTCTCCAAGAGGAGTAGGGTGAACAAAAAGCCCCATTTCAAAGGCCTTGGGGACTGAGGTCTGAGGTCACCACTTGAGGAAGTCCGGTGAAGATAAGCCTGAGTTCCTGTTTAGAGGAAAGCCCCTTCCAGAAGGAGACCCTACCAGGAGGTGCTGGCCATCCCTGAAACAGGAAGCCCCTTATCAGGCGCAGGGCAGTCCCCAGAGAGCAGCCAGAAGCCAGGCCCCCTCTTACCTTGTGCAGGTGTTCCAGGGCCAGCACAATCTCACCCCCGTACACTCGCACCTCAGCCTCCTTGAAGTACTGACGCTGGTAGAGGTGAGTGAACATTTCTCCACCGCTCACATAGTCTGGGGGTGCAGGAGAGGTTGAGATGTCCCCCTATAAGGTGGCCTAACCTAACTCCAGTCCCCCTCCAAAGCCAGGATGTGACAGGCCCTCACCCAGGATGAGGTGCAGCTTGGCATCCGTCTGGAAGGCGTAGTGCAGTGTAACCAGGAAGGGTGCCTGGCGCACCAGCTCCAGCACCGAGCGTTCGGTGCGGGTATGCTCCTGTGTCTTGGCGCGCTGCACCAACGCCGCCTTGCGAAGCACCTTCATGGCATAGAGCTTGCCCGCATCGTGCCCACCCGCCTTCCGCACCAGGAACACCTTCCCATAGGCTGTAGGAGCAGCAAGCAAGCGGATGGAAGGTGGGCTGTAAATGTGAGGGCGGTGCAGACTGGTGGGAAGAGGGGTGCAGGGGTGCAAAAGGCTGACAAAGCCTTCTACGGAAAAGGTGAGCATCTCCCTGGAGGGTGCTAAGTTAAGCCTAAGAAGAAATGTGCAGTGCATACTAGCCTGGGGAGCTTGCAACTCCAGAAGGCCTTCGGGGCGGGGAGGGGGCGGGGCACGTGCAAACCTGGGATAATCAGAGAGCTGAGAAAGGATGAAAAGCCTGGCACCGGAGGCAGAGGCGCGCTCCCAGACAGCGGAGGGATGTGCAAACCCGGACTGGGGGATTTGCAAACTACAAGAGTGGGGCTCTCAAGGGGAGAAGGGGAGAAGCTATACAAAGCTCTTGGGAAGGAGTCAAACCCCCAAAGAGACGAGGAAATCGTGGCAGGGGGGCATGCACGTACAGGACTTTGCAGAGAGAAGTGATGTCAACGTGGACGCCCTACAAGTGGGCATGGAACCCTGGCACGGTAGGGCGGGGCGGGAAAGGGGAGTTGTGCCGGGAAAGGGTGGGGGGACCTCCCCAAAGCCAGGCCCAGGCCCAGGCCCAGGCGGGTGAGCGGGCAGAAGGCCCAAAGCACCATGCCAGGAGCACTGGCCCAGTGAACGCGGTTCCTCACCTCCCGTGCCCAGCACTTTGAGCAGCGCGAAGTTCTCCACGCTCACCTTCTCCTCATGCCCAGTCAGATTGGCTGCGGGCACAGGGGGCCGAATGAGCTCAGCGGGTCGCTGGCTCTTGCCACCCGTCCGGGGCAGCCGCTTCGGGATCCCGCACCCACCTTCGGTGATCTGCAACTCCACGGCGCAGCCCTCGTCCTCATCTTCGTCTCCCATGGCGGGCGGGTCTCTGGGGCCCGCGCGGCTGGGGCTCCGGGCGGCGCCGGTTACATGGCGGCTCCGGCCGGGGCGGGTGCTTCCTGGTGCCGCCTCCAGGGCCGAGCGGGCGCCGGCACCGCCTCCCGGCTCCCCGCCCCACGCGTCCTGAGTCAGGCGGCTGGAACGTGACGGAGCGGGGCTGTGGGTGGGCAGCTAGAGTGGGTGGCAGGGTCTCCCCAGCCCCGGGACCAACGAGAGTCGTGCAGGGTCTTTGGATGACACCTGGCCTCTGCTGGGATAAGCAAGCCTCCAAGCCAGGTGTCTGCCCAGCAGGACGTGAAGGGCACCAGAGGTTTATGTCTCATGATTTTGGGAGGGCTGCCCACCCGGGCTCTGAGAGCCCTCCCTCCCACGTGGCAGCCATGCCTCTTCTGCCCCTTTTAGTCACTTGACACAAATCATAGCCGACCTCCTTCTTTAGGACCACACCTTAACCTCAGCAAATACAGCAGAGATCTTTATATTCCCTGGGACACTGGAGTCCTAGGCTCTTGATGCTGGGCAGGCAATGGGTGGGAGAGGTCTTGAGAGTACGCTTCAAAAACAGAAAGCCACTTTTCATTGGTAAAGGTGCTTTTGCCCCAAAGGAGACCATCTGAGTTGGATGCCTGGTTCCCACATGGTAGAAGGAGAGAACTGACTTCCCCAAGCTGTCCTTAGATTTATATGCCTCACCCACATACAATACAAGCAAAGGACATTATATAAAATAAATGCAATTTCAAAAAAATTAAAGAGGGAGCCTGCAGGGCTGATTGCTCAAGGACCCAGCTCCACCTTTCCCAGGGCGCCCCACCCTCCCTGGGCAGCCTCAGGTGCCCTGACTCACATCCTGCCACCCAACCTAATTGTCCCTGTACTAGTTTGCTGAGATAAAACACTCTGACCCAAAGCAACTTGGGGAAGGGAGAGTTATTTGGTTTACAGGTTATAGTCCATACTCGGAACTCAAGGCTGGAACCTGGAGACGAGAACAGAAGCAGAGACCATGGAGGAACACTGTTCACTGGCTTGCATCCCTTCCCCTCATCAGCTAGCTTTATTATACAACCCAAGCCCACCTATCAAGGGATGTACCACCCGCAGAGAACTGGGCCCCGCCTACATCACTTAGCAACCAAGAAAATGCCTCTGAAGACACGCCCATAGGTCCATCTGATGGAGGCAATTCCTCGGCTATGAGTTCCTTCTCTCTTCCTAGGTGTCAAGCTTGACAAGTGAACTGTGATATTCCAGCCCTTGTCAACTGTGGCACCCAAGCACATCCCCATTTAAGCATAACCTTTCCTTTCTTGTTTGTTCCCAAGATCTCATGTTAATATCACAATATGAAAGACAGTCCAACCGGACAATGGCACACGCCTTTAATCCCAGCACTCAGGAGGCTGAGGCAGGCAGATTTCTGTGTTCCAGGCCAGCCTGTTCTACAGAGCAGGATGGAGAAACCCTGTCTCAAAAAAAAACAAAACAAACAAACAAAAAATTATAGTACCTTGATAGTCGAAGTTATCTTTAAAAAAAAAAATCCAGTCTCTTAAATGTGGGCTACTGTAAAATCCAAAATAGTTACATAGTTTCTTATTTCAAAAGGGAAGAACCAGCCGGGCGGTGGTGGCACACACCTTTAATCCTAGCTAGCACTGGGGAGGCAGAGGTAGATGGATCTCTGTGAATTCAAGGCCAACCTGGTCTACAAGAGAGCTACAAGACAGGCTCCAAAGCTACAGAGAAACTCTGTCTTGAAAATCCAATATCAAGCAAAGTCCAACATCCAGTACTGATCTCAAAGCCTGCATCTTAGGGTTCAGTATTTGTGGTCTGCCGTCCGCAGCACACACTGCTTGTCCTGCAGGCTGAAGTCGCTCCTTTCTACAGCTGCTGCCATCCTCGGCACACACCTCACACTCATGTCCCCTATAATCTGAGGTTCCCACTGTGACTGAGACTGCACCTTCACCCATGGCCTCCTGGCCTCTCTTCAGGGACCCTGACCCTGCCACATGGTACCAGACCTCAGCTGTTCCCCATGACACTTTCGTGCCTTCAAAACCAATACCAAGTGGAAGACACACGGTTTGCCAAGTTCTGCTGAGAGCTTGCAATGTAGCCTTGGCCCCTACTAGGCCATGGCTTCTGTGTGGCCACCCTGAGAAACACTTCCCAGAAGACTTTGCCTCTGATTTTTCAGCCCTAGCTAACAAACATCCATTGCCCCAATAGGGCAAAGGTTTCACTTCCACTGTCTGCGTTGCTCTCAACGGTCGTCTGAGTCCCCACAACAGGTCTCTAAGCTGAGCACTCAGCAGCTTTTCCTGCTCAAAGTTCCAAAATCCTCTGCCTTCGTCCCACAAGGCAACCCAAAGCATAAAAGCCAGATGGCCAGATCCATCACAGCCGTACCCCACATTCCAGGTACCAACTTTTATAGTAGTTTGCTTCTCTGTTCTATGACAAAAACACCTTGGGGAAGAGACAGTTTATCTGGCTTACAGGTTTCCGTCCTCCTGTAATGGAAGCCAGGGCAGGAACGCAGAGGTTGGAACTGAGGTAGAGCAATGGAGGAACACTGCTTGTTGGCTTGCTCCCTTTGACTTGCTCGACTAGCTCTTATTTTCTTTAAGGTTTATTTTTTATTATGTTTAATTACATGTCATGTGTATGTCTACGTGTGGGTATGTGCACGTGAGATGGCTAGAAGCATTCATTCCCTAGAGCTGGGGTAATAGACAGCTGTGAGCTGCCCAGTGTGCTAGTGGAAACCGAACTTGTGTCTTCCAGAAGACCAGCACGTGCTCTTAACCATTGAGCCATGTCTCTAGCCCCTCTGCTAGCTTTTTTGTATAGCCCAGGCTCACCTGCCTAGGAATGTGTCACGGGTGCACTGGGCCCTCCTACATCAGCAAGCAATCAAGAAAATGCCTTCATAGACATGCCCATAAAGCAATCTAATGGCGGCAATTCCTCAGTTGAGTTTCCTCTTCGCAGGTGTCAGGTGGACAACTGGAGCTAGCTGTGACAGCTTCTCTTCCCAGTCATCATGCTTGGGACTCGGGTCAGAGACATAGCATGACCTCTTAGAAAGCACCGCTTGTGACACTGTGAGCTCCCTGAGGCAGAGGCTCAACCCCAAAGGAGTGGGGGGAAAGATGAGGTTGGAAGACATAGAGAGAGAAGAGGTACCCTGAGACGCGGGGTCAGAGTCAACCAAGGTCACCATGTCCCACTTCCTAGATCCTGGGTCCCTTTCATTGTTGAGTACCAACCCAGACCCTGCCCACCTACCCACCTGGACAGCACATTCAGGTTTTGGCGAGTTCAAGTGGCCACACTATAATTCCTTTTGCTAACTGGTCCAGGCATGGCTCCCTGGCTACAGAAGCCCACTGATAGGAATCCCCAGCACTCCAGGCTCCCAGAGGCAGCCAGCAGACACAGAGCCCAGATTCAAGGTATTATAGCTTTATTTTCCTCTCCCGCATGTCCCCAGCAAGGCTTAGATATCAGCCCAGCTTGTCCCCAGGGAATGAGCCTTGACGTCCCATCTAGACCGGGCACAGGGCTCTCTTGCCCACTCTTGCCAGCCTCCTTCAGCTGGGGCATCCCCTAGAGATCGTCTCCTAAATGGTGGCTGTGTGGCACAGCAAGAGCCCCGGACATGAGCGACCTGTTGGGACCAGTAGTCCCTGCCTACAGACTTATCCCAGTTCCTTTGCAGGGCCCCAGTACAGGTTGTGGGGGGCCTGGGAGTCCAGGCCTCTCTGTTCAAGGACTCTTTCCGAGATCCCTGGGTACCACGGCACTTGGGTTGCCTGGGAGACCCACCAATGGTGCAATGAGGAGGAGGCTGCTCTCCTAAGCCTCCTGTCACCTCAGCGTCACTGGCTGAGGGAAGGGGTAAGGGGATGTTTCTCCGGTTTCTGCTCCTGGAGGGCTAGAGAGAAAAGCTGGGCTCAGGCTTCCTCTCCAGGAAGATGCCCAGCAGTCAAGGCGGCCCAGGGGACCCTGGGCCATCTGCCCACCGGCTATCCCTCCACCCCGTGCTCCTTTCTGCCTCCAGGCTGTCCCTAAACTTCAGCTCCTCTCTGAAACCTGTCCCCAGCCAGCTCCCTCCTTCAAATCCCAGCCTGTACACACACACACACACACACACTTACTTCTTCCCCAGTGCTATAGTACTGCTAACATGCCCACACTGTTATATGCCTACATGTGAAAAGCTTTAAAAACTTCGTATGAGGGCTGGAGAGATGGCTCAGTGGTTAAGAGCATTGCCTGCTCTTCCAAAGGTCCTGAGTTCAATTCCCAGCAACCACATGGTGGCTCACAACCATCTGTAAAGAGGTCTGACGCCCTCTTCTGGTCTTCAGGCATACACACAGACAGAATATTGTATACATAATAAATAAATATTTAAAAAAAAAAAAACAAACTTCGTATGAAAAAAATAATGAGTGTGGTGACACACAACCTTTATCCCAGAACTGAGAAAGTTGAGGCAGGAGGATTGCCACACATTTGTGGCCAGCCTGGGCTACACAGTGAATTCTGGACCATCTTGGGCTATATAACAAGACTGTGTCAAAAGAACAAAGAAAATAGTAAGGCATAGGCAGGCGCAGGGTAGGTAGAGGCAGGAGAATGAGTTGAATGCTAACCTAGAAAAGAAAGGAAAGTCTTGAACTGGACATGGTGGATCATGCCTGTAACCCTAGCACTCATGGGGCAAAGACAGGCAGATATTTTCGAGTCTGAGCCTGGCTTCAAACTACGTGCCATATAGTAAGACCAGCCAGGCTGCACAGTGAGACTCTGTCTCAAAAAGTAAAATAATTTTTTCTTTCATCCTAATAGCAAACAAGTAAAATAATTTTAAAAAGAAAATCTCATTTGTAATTTTTTGCACTGAGTACACATTGAAAGTGGTAATTGTCTAGGCAGACGGAGTTAAATGAGTCATGCCATTAAAAGCCTTGTACCT